TTAGAAATTTCCTAGTAGTACCGAGTTCCTTTGCACCTAGGTTTTACTCTAGCTCGTAAAATTACCCCCTGGCCTGAGGAGCGCTGGATCTGGCAGCGGCAATACTAAACTTTGAATATCAGCCAGAAAATAGTCTCTCTCTACAGTCCAGAAAGGCGCTATCATGGTAAGTTTTACTGGAACTGATTCTTAGCTCCACAGGGAGGGTGTCCTTGGGCAGCGAGTGGAGGGCAGGTCTTCTCGTTCTGCGGGGTGAGCCTTGGTGGTGACAGGGCTCACTCTGAAAACCAGCACAGGGGACACAGCTGCCTGGCCCAGAAAACACCCCGATGTGCAGGTGAGGCTGAAGATGCAGTCATCGTGGGGATGTGACAATTACCTCCAGCTCCCAAGCGCTGCCAATCCCTCTTAAGCTTAACATGCTTTGATTTTAATTATTAATACATCTTAAGAGGGGGAAAAAAAAATCGGTTCCTGTGTCTAAACCTGCTGTTCGACAGAGCATCCTGCAGTACGTGTGCTGCTAAGATTGTATCCCGCAGCCAGTTTTAAATTGCCATTTTTTGGAGCTGCCGTTCATTGCTGGGTGCCAAAGCCAACTGGTCAGCATGCCCTCCAGTTCACAGCTGACTGGTTTAGATGACAGGGTTACTGAGCCTGGTACAGTGATTCACTGTCCGTCCCAGTTCCACCAGTAAGACACCTCCCACCCTCAGCAGGGCTGGGGCAGCAGCCCCCCAGGGGAGCTTTGCTGGTGCCAACGCACCAAGTCTGCTAGTGAGAAGTCTTGACGTGCCAAGTCCAGTTCATCTCCTGCTCTGGACTAATTGGAAACGATAAAGGTGAGCGCAGGAGGGGACGATGGGCCTGGTTGCCTTTGTGTCTGCACCCTGCACTGCCGACTTAAGACAGGGCCTAATAGCAGTGAGACTGGGCCTGACAGCAGGTTGAGACAGCCGTGATGCTCAGACCAGCCCGTTTTAGCTGGGTGCTATGTTGGAGTTGTCTGCGCTAGTTCGTGCGGAAGGTAGTCAGGACGGAAAGGAGTCAGGTGGTGAGCATCTCCAAGGGAATAAAAGTTAATTAATATCTAACGGAAAAATGAATGGGCTTGTTTGTAAAGATATTTCACATTCATTTGTTCTTAGCTACCGAGATCAGGATCTTGAAAAACTACATTAATTTTGCAGAGAACAAAAATGGGAGCAGGATTTTAATTATAAAATGGAATTCAGGGCTGGAGTTACGGTCAGCACTTCTGTACGAGTCTGAATTTCTTTAATGCTCAGCAGTGACCTAGATGGCATCAATTTGGTTATTGCAAATCAAGCTAAAAGAATGATTTTATGTTTCTACTTTAAAAGATTTTTGTGAGTCCAGTATTTCCTTTAAAATTACTATGGCCATTCCAGGCTTTTATGAACCTTTGGCACTGCCTAAAATGATGATCTGCCTGCGGCAACAACTTGCCTTTATAGCCCTCTCTAAAACATCGTGCTCGGTATTGGAGCTAAAGCTTCTGTAAATATGTGTTTTGACCTTCAAGGGAATACTGCTGTCTTCTGGCAGAAGCCTGGCTATTCCAAGTTGAGTGCTGTGACCACTCTTAATCACTTGTTCTCTCTCCTAATGTGCTGTTAATCCTGTTTATTGCTGCGTGCGTGGCGCTGAGCTTCTCCGTGACACTTCAGCAAGAGGCTTACTCAGAGTTGCGGTGTTCAGGCTGTAATGAGCCTTAGTGATGGAGCAGGTGAGCAAACCCGCCGTTTGTCTTAGATTCATGGAATCATAGAACTGTTTTGGTTGGAAATTACCTTTAAGGCCATCGAGTCCAACCAACCCCACCCCCCACCCCCACCAACCCCACCACTAAACCATATCCCTGAGCACCACGTCCAAATCCCTCCTGGGATGGTGACTCCCCCACCTCCCTGGGCTGCCTGTTCCAATGCCTGACAACCCTTTGGGGAAGACATTTTCCCTAATATCCAACCTGAACCTCCCCGGCATAGCTTCAGGCTGTTCCCTCTCATCCTGTCACTTGGGAGAAGAGACCCAGCCCCCCCCTTTCTGCACCCTCCTTTCAGGGAGTTGTAGGGAGCGATAAGGTCTCCCCTGAGCCTCCTCTTCTAGAGGCTGCACACCCCAGCTCCCTCAGCTGCTCCTCGCAGGAATTGTGATCCAGCCCCTTCCCCAGCTCCGTTCCCTCCTCCAGACACGCTCCAGCCCCTCAGTGTCTCTCTTGCAGTGAGGGGCCCAAACCTGACCCCAGGATTGGAGGTGCGGCTTCACCAGTGCCCAGCACAGGGGGACAATCCCTGCCCTGGTCCTGCTGTTGGCCACACTGTTCCTGATGCTGGCCAGGATGCCGTTGGCCTTTTTGGCCACCCTGGCACACACCGGTTCACACTGAGCAGTGTCAACCAACACCCCCAAGTCCTTTTCAACCGGGCAGTATCCAGCCCCTCGTCCCAAAGCCTGGAGTGCTGCAGAGGGTTTTTGTGGCCCAGGGGCAGGACCCGGCACTTGGCTGTGTTGAACCTCGTACGGTGACCTTGGCCCATGGATCCAGCCTGTCCCGTTCCCACTTCAGAGCCAGCAGAGATGCTACTTGTTCAGTCAAAAGAGCATGTTGCTGCACCAAAACTTGCCATCGGTTGAGGAGTGGTTTAGACCCCGAGCTCCTTTGGTCATGCAGGGATGGGAGGTAATCCTGGGCTGGCATCGGATGGTACTGGGCAGCAAGGTAGATGCTATGGGGAATATGGGAATGGTGTGAGCTGGTTACACTGAAGGCTCTTAATTTTGTTTGCTTTTCAGTGAGAAGTAAGTCTCAAAATGAGGAAAAAAGGAGAATGCAATTACTGTTTTTTCTTGCTGACTCTGAGTGTTTCTGTTGCTTTACTCTGGAAAAGCTCTGGCAACTCCCAGTGGTTCTATCCTCCGATAAAACAGGAATCCAGCTCCTTTTTAATCTTTCTGGTCTTGCGGGGCATGATTTGAGGTAAGAAACTGCTGCCCACAGGCCAAGTTTCCCTGGATATTGCGTGCTTCTAGTCATGAATGAATCTCATCTGGAAAGGTTGAGCAACTTTTCAGTTCCTGACGCAATTCCTTTAAGTTGTGGATGTGACAGGTCTTCAGACATCGTTTCTGATCACCTGAAAGACTCGAAGAATTCTACCTCCTGCAATGGGTGGGGAAAAAATCGGGGGTTAGATTTAATTCACAAGGGTTTACAACTACGTATCTTGGAGTTCCCGGCAGTGCAGACGGTTCCTGTCTCCTAGGGATGAAACAGAGGATGGTGTAAAGGTGTGCTGGTGGTGGTTGAGATTAGATAGTAGGGAAAACTTCTCCACAGAAAGAGCAGTCAGGCACTGGAACAGGGTGCCCAGGGAAGTGGTGGAGTCCCCATCCCTGGAGGTGTTCACGGAACGTGTAGACGTGGTGCTTGAGGACATGGTCTGGTGGGTACAGGAGTGTTGGGGTGGTGGTTGGACTGGATGGTCTGTTAGGTCTTTTCCAACCTTAGTGATTCTGTGAACTCCGCGCTGTTCGCTGCGTTGGTGCAAGAATTCCTTGGGTGATCTGACTTGTGACGGTGGTCTGAGGGTTCCAGATTAAAGCCTTCTAAACCTCCCTGCAGAAAAACGGTCTTTCGGAGCTTTCTGGAGCGTGGAGGCGGTGATGCCTCCCAGGGCGCTGATGTTGCCGCGTCGGGTGTCTCCCAAAGGCTTCACGTCGTTGGTGCAGTCCTCAGCAGCTGATTCTTTCAGAAGTGGCCTCTGCGGGGTTTCTGCACCTTCTTGGGTTGGTCTCCAGCTTTCTGCTCCTCTCCTTTTGATCTTCAAATGCCTCCCCAGTGGTTTTAACCGGTGTTTGTGGAACAAGGAAATGAAACCAGCCTGTAACTTTTGAAGCCTTCGATTCTTTCCATGTTTTGGGGGTCATATAACAAGCCCCAAGGCCTTTCTAGCTGTTCCTGAGGTGCTTTGGCAAAAACACTGCCCGTATAGCGGCACAGATGCTTGTGGAGATCTGGGCAAGGAGAATCAGCTGGTTTCTCCCGTTTGGCTCGGCTGCCCTGCTTCCCAGAGCTTTCTAACATGCTCGTGGCTGGCTGTGGCTTGTCCTGGGAATTTGAGCATTGGCTGGGACCATGTGGCCTCTAGAGACCTTGTTCCAGCTTAAATTCCTCTCCCTAATTCCAGTAACCTTGGGAGCCTTGGAGCCTGAGTTAGCTTTGTTGCTGGAAAACCCCCCTGTATCCGCACACCAATGATGGGATTTGAGGGTAGTTTACGTAGCAGAGCTTTAGCGCTCCGTGCGTTCATTTTCAGGTTTGGTTTCCTAAATGCTGAACCCCCGCAGTCAGGGACTGTGACCCCTCTGCAGCTCCCTCGTGCAGAAGACACGTCTGGCCGTCCGTCTAACCCAGAGCCGTGCAGGTTAGCGAGTCTCTTACGAAATGAGGTTGGGGCCGTTCATTTTTCAGCCTAATGGACCGCAGAAATTACAAGCCGTAGCATGCAGCTTCATCTTGCCACGAGGCAGAGTGCTGCATGCTTTGCCTTCAGTTTATGCATGCCGTGCCTTTCGATGGAACGTGGACGAGCAGTTGACGGGATTTCTCCAGGGGACTTGCTTCGGCTGTACCTGGTGGACAGCCAGCGCTGTTCAACGTACAGCGAAATGAGTGATGGTGCTTTCTTGGCCACTCCTAACCACCACCTCGGGAATCTGAGGATAGAGGTACGGCCTAGCCTCCGTGTGTCGAGCAGCAGAGGAGAGCCAGGCGGCTGGTTTACTTCTAACCCTGCCGATGACCCGCTTCTTGAAGTATTTCCGTTGCCGTTACGAGATGCAGCAAGGGCCGGAGCGGCAGCCGCTGCGCATCTGTGCTTGGTCAGGCCTTCGCCCCGGGCTGGCTCTTTGCCGCTTTCTTTTCTCTGTTCCTCCTTGTATTATAACTTTGAATTGTCTCTCTGTTGTTGCAGTGTGCAGAGGAGTGAATGCCCCATGTTGTGTTAGTGCCTGTCTGCCATGCTGGCCTGTCTGCCAGGACCAGGTGACCTCTCCTTTCAGCTTCTTTCTTACACGCAGATGAACACTGGACTTCAGAAATGTGAGTGACGTTTTGTCTGCAGGATGTGGTTAACTGTTAAATCTGGCTCTGGGACAGCTGTGACATAAACTTTTAGGATACGGTGGAAAAAAAAATCCCTTATTTAATGTTAGAGTCTTTCTTTTGTTGTGCCTTCAAGACAGCCATCAATAACGGCTCCAAGAAATCTCTGCGGAGGTTCACGTGTGTGCAGCAAGCTCTCCCCCCTTTCCCTGGCTTTATAAAGGTTAATTTTAACCACTGCAAGATGAAATGCAGGTGAGGTTTCGGTGAGATTCGTGCCTCTTTGCTTGCAAACGTTTTTGGTTTAAAATTGTGCCAGCTGACTTGCTTCTTAACGCAGCTTTTTCCCCGACTCTCTCGCTTCCGTTCATGATCTTTAAGGTCCCTTCCAACCCTAACCATTCTATGATTCTATGATTTAAGTACTTGTCAACACCATAAAAGTTGGATCATGTGAACCTTTTGAGGTCAGCAGCCCTGTTGTTCTACGTACCTGGGGCATATAGTGCAAATATTAGGGATCTAGCCCAAATTACTGAAGTTCAAAGCTTCCGTCTTCTTTCTGATGTCTTCTTGGTGCCTGCAGAGTGCTCTGGGAATTCATTTTTGGATAGTTGTGTTAGTATTTTTAAGAAGAACGCAGGCTGGGGAATGTAAGTTGACTGAGTAGAGATTTTTGTTAACTCTTACCCTGTCTCTCCTCCTTATCACTGAGGTTGCGCGTTGGTTGTTCAGCTGAAACGTCAGAAATCCCGAGGTTTCTACGTAAGCTCCATGTACGTGGTCCTTAGGGACCTGGCTCTTGTGTCTGAAAGGTGCACTGGGACATCTCTGTCCCCTCAGTTCGCCAGTGGACTCTTCAAACCCAAGTAATTTACGTTCCACTTCTAGCTAAAATGATCATGTTAAGGCTTGTGGTGCTACTGGAAATAGGGAAGATAATTTTGGGATTAAGAGCGACGTGCTTAACGTGAATGGTGAATGACGCTGGTCCCCTACACGCGTGTGCTCCCCCCAGCGTTGATGCCGACCCCATGGGCTTTGGACTTGCGGGGA